CGAAACTAAAATTTTAAAATAAAAACATTTCACTTTATTGTATGATAAAATACATTTTAAAAATTAAAAATTTATATGTATTTTGTATTATATTGTATTAATAAACAAAATTATTTGCTTATTTTTCACTTATGTAGAACCTAACCCTATACCTCACTGTAAATATGGGTTCGTTTTACGCCAATTCGATTTGTGCCGGCTTTTGTAAGAACGGAACTGCGGCGTAAACTGAGGGCTACCTGTATAAAGTGATTTAACAACTTTTTGGTTTTAGCTTGATGCTAATTGCAAAGTAACATATGTAAAATATTAGTGTTTGGCTGGAATTACAGATCTGTGCAAACATATTTCTGCCTTAGTTTATTACATAAATAATGATTTGATTTCTTCAAAAACATCTGTTCCACAAGTATCAGATCAACTTGCAATAGAGAGGTTGCGGCTGATGTTTTCATCATGAAAACATGATCATCAGATGTTCAGCGCTACCTTCCTGTAAGCCTAGAAGTTTGACAATAGCATTTGGAACATCGAGCATGATTCCACTGACATTCCAAATGCCATTGTCAAACTTCTAGGCTTACAGAAACGCGGTGCTGAATGTCCAACATTCATGTTTTTGTGATGAAAACATCGGCCACAACCTCTCTATTATCAAAGTCTGAAGTTTTTGCAAAACCAGTTTGATTTTGGAGTCAAACTGCACTTTCATTCAGAAAAAGAAAACATATTTATTACTCTAATGCAAGGATGGCCAACCTTTTTTACAGACGTGTCTATAAATGGGCATGAATTTTTCAGTGGATCACTGTCCTACCACTCCCTACAACTGGTTTAAATTAGTAGTTAAAGATAAATTAATTAAATAACATTAAAAGTAAACAAGGATAATAAAAACATTAAAATATGTTGTTAAGTGGAAATAAGTACAAATATTAAATAAGCCAGTAGTGTTAGTTTGAAAGTGACAAAATATTAAAAACATTTTTTATTGAAAGGAGATCAAAAAACTTGAAATTCTAATTAAAAACACAAAGAATCCAAATTTAAAGTCCGCTCAATGTGGTTTCTAAACTTCCTTTTCAGTTAACAATTTCTTAATATTAGGATTGATTTTCAATGTTGATAACAGAAGCATATTGCCCATATGAGCATATGTCAATACAGATTAGTACTTATTTTTAACAAAGCTCATTACTGAAAACATCATCTGCTCACAAATGTAGATGGAACCGAATCTGTACACAAAACATTGGGAAAGATCATACATTTCTGTGTAGTCAATTTTAGGAACAAATTTCCAGAAGGCTTTCAAATCACAGAAAGTCAGTGATTCACATAACTCTCAAAATTTTTCTGTAAGTTCTGAGTGATTTTTAATGTCTACAATTTCCAATTGGATTTTGGGTGGATATTTCCCTATTTTGCTGTCTGAAATGGAGAATGGATTCATGAACAGAGTGAGGTTATTCCTTTCAGCTTTGAAGTCTTTGAAATGGGAATCAAATTACTCAGTTAGTGCTGTAAAGGCAGAATAATACCTATTAAAGTCCAAATCATCACACTCATTTTGAAACTTTAGAGTGGAAAAATGGTCAAGATTTTTTTGAGATGATTTGCTTGAAAACAACTTTAGTTTCTCCCTAAATGAACTAATTAGGTTGAACATTGTCAGAAATAAACAATTTTTACCCTGTAAACGAGTATTAAGTACATTAAGATAATTTGTGATGTCTACCAAGAAAGCTAAATCACAGCCAATTTCTGTCTTTAAGTAGATCACATTCTGTGGATAACTCACATTTCTGTTCCAAAAACTGAAGCAGTTGGTCCTTCAATAAGAATAAATGTACCAACACCTCTTATTTTGAAAGCCAGTGGACAGAGGAATGCAGCAGAAGTTCTCCATGTTTCTTGGTTTACTCTTTGAATTATACTCTAAACTCCCTATGATTGACAGCTTGCATCTGAATGTTATTGACACAGATCGACGACATGGCTGAATTTCATCTCTAGCACAGAGCACTTCCTGATGAATAATATAATGGTATTTAAATAACTTACACTTCATATACTTTTCAAGCAGAGAAATACAGCCATTCCTTTTTACCACCATTGAAGGAGCTCCATCAATCTCAGTATTTTCAATGCATCCCTTCAATGCTTCAAAATTTTGGAACCTGTAGTTGTGGTTGAAAGCTGGCAGAGACCAAAATCTCGAGTAACATCAAAATTTTTATTAACATATCAAAAATAAATGAGTAATTGTGCATTATCAATGTTATCACAGCTTTCATTCATTACAATTGAAAAGTATTTGGAAAGAGCAACAGAAACTTTAATTTGTTCCATTACATCATTTGCCATGTCTTCCACTCTTTTCATGACTGTATTACAGGAAAGGGAGAAGTTTTCAGCTATCTTTTTAACACTTGAATTGCCACTGTTTTCAGCAAACATAGATAAGCTCTCTTTCACTATTTCACCATTTGAAAAGGAGTTTTGTCTTCTGCTCAAGAA